TACAGTGGTATGGGCCATGAACATTCTAGAGTTGTCTAAAACAGCTGATTTTAAAAAATGTGTTTGTGTGTGTGTGTGTGTGTGTGTGTGTGTGTCTGTGTATGTGTATGAGAGAGTGTATGTATGTGCACATGCATGCATGGGCACGTGTATTGTGTGTGTGTGCATGTGTGTGTATTGTATGTGTGTGCTGTGTGTATGTACACACGCCCATGTGTGTGTTTTGTGTGTGTTGTGTGTTTGCATGTGCACGTGCTTGAGTGTGTGTATGCATGTGTGTGTGGTGTGTGTGTGTGTTGAGTGGGGGCCCTGAAGAATGCTGAGAGGTTGGCGTGTCTTAGCTGAAGGGAAGCTAGAGAAAACGGCAGGGCTGACCTGGGAAGTGTGGCTCAGGCGTGGGCTTGGCTGCTCTGTTGGAGGCAGAGCTGTTTGTGGATCGTGTCCCTTAAGGCAGAGCTTCACGTGCTCCTCTCTTGAAGTCTACATGGAAGGTGTTCTCTCCTCACCTTGTCCAGGCACCCAGGGCTGCAATGACCACGCCCTTGGCATTGCCGGCATGGCTAAAGACGCTAGCACCTGCAGCTGGGCAGGTGGCCAGGACATAGCAGGAGAGTCTTGTCCATGTGCCCCACACACCTTCCTTGGCCGACGTGTGCAGCCCTCAACCTGCTGTTGGTGTGTGTCATGGGAAATTCCAAGTTTCACACACATGCTTCCAGAGATGGGCTGTGGTGGCATAGGGTACCAAGTTAGCCACGGAGGCTCCTCAGACCGGATCTGCCACCTGCTTAGTCACATGACCTTGACTAAACAAGGCCATCCATGCGCCTGGGAATCTCAGCTCCCTCACCTGTGAAGCTGGGCAAATAATACTTTGTCCTCACTTTCTAGGCGGGACAGTCTGCAAGTACCTGGCTGTGGGTTTTGAGTGCTGGCCACATTCCTGTGGGTTCTTTCTGTAACCCTTCATGTGTGTGTGTGTGTGTGTGTGTGTGTGTGTGTGTGTGTGTGTGTGCGCGCGCGCAATGGGTATGGAGGCCGGAGCACAACCCTGGGTGTCATTCCTTGTTTGCTGAGGCAGGGTCTCTCACCGGCCTAGATGTCACCGAACAGGCTGGCCAGCAAGCGTCAGGGACCCACCTGTCTCTGCCTCCCCAGTCTGGGACTGCAGATGACAAGCCTGCACCTCCACACACAGCTTCTTATGGTTTCTGCCGATTGACCTGGGGTTTCCTCTCGCTTGTCGGGCAAGCACGTTACTGACGGGCCATCACTCCAGCCTCTATCCTGGGATTCCTGACAGTGGTCTATGCTACATTTACCCAGCCTCGGGCCTTGGCGTGTCTTCTCCGTCTAGCCAACACACTCCTGTCCGTTTCCGTAGGAGCTCCCCGGAGCCTTTGGTCAAGGAGAGCGCCCTGACGGTCTCCAACTTGACTTGGCTGCATCCTAATTTTCTGGGATTTGAAGGCAACTGAAACCTTGCGTATTTCTAGATGGGGTGGGCCACACTGCAAAAACATCAAATACTCTGATGTTTGAGAATGCATTTCGGCCCAGTCCTGGGAGGACGGACAGGCCAAGTCCTGGTGGCTGAGCAGCTGGCAGCTCACACAAGCGACACGTTGTGCTTAGAAGGGGTCTCCACCCTCCACCCAGCCCTGGCTCCGTTCTCTTCCTCACTGTCAAGCATCATGGAGACGGCAGCCTGTCACGTGGGCCTTTCTGTGGGAATGTGGTCTGTCCGCTGCCTCTTTTGGAGCAACTGCGCAGGGCTGGTTTGGTCAGACCCCTGCCTAGCCAAAAGATGCCACTGACTGGCGGCAGCCGTGTTGACGCCAGGTCCCCTTCCTCATACGGTGGCCGTGCCGTGGCTGAGAGGGGTCTTGCAGAGGTGGCAGCAGAGTCCTCGCTTCATGGTGAGAAGAGGAGGTCGCTCCCTGAGGGCTGATGTGGACGGGGTTTCATTGGGAGCTGAGCAGGAAGAGAAGGTCCGTGTCTTGAGGACATTCATCGGGACACAGCTCTATCTAGTCTCTGCTAGCTGAGACAGATGCCAGATGCGCTAGGCGTGGCCCTTCTCATGCTCGGCAGAGGTGCAGACCTTCCTCCTCCGCAGGGCTGGACTGCAGCCCCAGAGCACCATAAAATCCCCAGAGCCTTACTTTCCAGTCATTAACCCTTCTCTGAGAACTTAGAGGCCACAATGGCTTCTTACATGAGAATGTCTTGCACTGAGGCCTTACAAACTGAACTGAGAGAGGCCGTGTGGGATCCCGGGGTGGGTGTGGAGAGCTGGGTTCCGGCTTAGAGAGCGATGGGTTTTCTTCAGCGATGTCATACACTTTGGGGTGCTGTCGGGACACCTCAGGTACAGTGGAGCAGGATTGGTGTTAGCCTGACCTAGCCTGACCAGACACCTGCCTCCCCCGACCCATGTCACGGCCTCAGCGTCCCCGGGGGAGGACGAGCTGCCGTCCTCCCGTACGTCTCCAGCAAAGCCCTGTCCTAGCCCCGCCCCCAGTGGCCTCCCCTCCAATCATTGCTTCCCCTGTCCTAGCCCCGCCCCCAGTGGCCTCCCCTCCAATCATTGCTTCCCCTGTCCTAGCCCCGCCCCCAGTGGCCTCCCCTCCAATCATTGCTTCCCCTGCTCCTAGCCCCGCCCCCAGTGGCCTCCCCTCCAATCATTGCTTCCCCTGCTCCTAGCCCCGCCCCCAGTGGCCTCCCCTCCAATCATTGCTTCCCCTGCTCCTAGCACTGGTGCCTATCGATCGATCGTGTCTTCTGAGTGTGTGGTCAGGGTTTGGCTGTTCCCCCTTAATTGGAGTCCCCCATCTTCCCTGGTTTACCAGTATCCCCGTTAGCGTTAGCGTCTCCCCTGCCCTTTCCACCTGGAGCTCGTCAGAAGGCGAACGGACCTCATCCCCACCTTCATCCACCCAGGCTCCCGAGCCCCTCCACTGTCCACTCCGAGCGTTTGCTTGCCTTCTGGTGTGTTTTCCCATCTGAAGACTGAGTCTTAGCACAAAAGCCCGAGTTCGTCACCCTCTCTCCGGCTGGGTCCACGTGCAGAGCAGTTGGTTTCTGGGCTGGCAAGACCCCTGCTGTAGCCACAACAGTTTTGCTGTTGTAGGCTCCCTGCTAAATGCTCTGAGCTCATGGCTGATGCCAGAATTCAGTCATGTTGATTTCATCGTTATCGGTTCGTGTGAGTAAGCACGGGGTAGAAAAGTCTGCAGGGTATTCTGGTCTGTGTCCTCATTCTGTGTGTCACAGCTGAGCTGCTGGTTAACTCAAAAAGCCTGCTTGGGTGGGCTGTGTGTGTGGGACGTTCACCATCAGTTGACTGTATTTAGAATCACCGTGGAAACACACCTCCAGGATGTCTGTGAGGGTGTTTCCAGAGAGGTCTCACTAAAGTGGGAAGACCCTGGATGTGGGCTGCACTAACCCATCCATGCTCTGGGGACCAGCCCTGGGTGTGGGCGGCACTAATTCATGCACTGGACCCCAGAGCTGTGAGGAGCGGAAAGTGAGCCTCCCTCCAGTGTTCGTTCATCTCTGTTTCCTGACTGGGGACGCACTGCCGTCAGCCACCTTGTGCGACTGTGCGTTACCTGCCACAATAGACTGTGTCCCCTCAAACTATGAGCCACAGCAAACTTCCTCCTTAGGTTGGTTCTTGTCCGGTATTGGTCACAGCAGCAGGAAGGTGCCTCACCACACCATCCCAGGCTTTGCTACACTCCCCTCTGAACACGGTGGGCCTGGAGCTGTGGGTCCAGGGGCGAATCGAGGCCACCCATGTGGCAAAGATTGCATTTCGTTAGCCTCGTGAGTTTGCGTGCTGTGGCACTCAGAACGTGGAACCTACTACTAACAGAGTGATAGTTCTGACAGGGCTCTGTGGATATAGGCAAGAGTTCTGTTCCAGCTGTGCCTGGGAGGTGTATGTATGTATAGATGGATGATGGATGGAAGGAAGGACAGATGATGGAATAAAGGATACAGGGATGGAAGAGTGAATGGATAGATGGATGACTGGATGGAGTGGGTAGATGGATCAATAAGTTAAGTGCAGGGTAGATTCTAGGTGAGGGGGTTGGCATATATGGTGAACGCAGCGGGAAGCAATCGGTAAATGGTAACGGGTTGGCTCCAGCATGAACACTCGGGAGAAGACAGCAAAAGAACTGTGGATGTAAAACTCGGAAGATGAAAGCTGGGGAATGCTGGATTCCCTTCTCAGAGAGTAGGCACCCGACAGTAGGTCTTTGCAGTCAACACGCAGAATTCTAATTTTAAAATATTAGTCTCCGTCAGGCATGGTGGCGCACGCCTTTAATCCCGGCACTCAGGAGACAGAGGCAGGAAGATTTCTGTGAGTTTGAGGTCAGCCTTGTCTAGAGAGCTGGTTCCAGGATATCCAGGGCTTAAGTTGGAAGGAAGGGAGGGAGGGAGGAAGAAAAGGTCTCTGTAAAATTGGGCTGCAGGCAGGCCTGAAGGCACTTTCTTTAGTGGTTGGTGGGAGGGAGGGTCTGCTGTGGGTGGGGTCATCCCTGGGCTTGTGGTCCTGGGTTCTGCAAAAAAGCAGGCTGAGCAAGCCATGGGGAGCAAGCCAGTCAGCAGCACCCTCATGGCCTCTGCACCAGCTCCTGCCTCCAGGTTCCTGCCTGCTTAGTCCCTGCCCTCCGTGCTTTTGAAGACGAACTGCTCGATGGAGCTGTGAGCGAAATAAACCCTTTCCTCCCCAGTTGCTTGTATTTGTTCACGATGTTCGTCACAGCCGTAGTCACCATAGCTAGGACACCACACTTGGCCGTACAGTGTTCTAAGCTATGCTAGTTTCTGTCTGCACCACTGTGCCCATTAAACATCTCTGCCCCTGCAATTCTAAGTCTCGGGAGTAGGTTTCAAATGACGTGTCCTTGCCTGGATTTTGCATGCCACAGGCGTGAGTGGCAGTGTCTTAGCTTACTCCTGCGTCTTCTTCTCTCTAGACGTGTGCAACAGCACCAACCTTCCAGAAGTTGAGATCATTAGCCTCCTGGAGGAGCAGCTGCCCCATTACAAGCTGAGAGCTGACACCATCTACGGTTACGACCACGATGACTGGCTACACACGCCTCTCATTTCCCCCGATGCTAACATTGACCTCACAACCGAGCAGATTGAGGAGACGCTAAAATACTTCCGTAAGTAGCTGGCCCCTCATCCGCGGAAGCAGTGTGGTGAGCAGTCCTTCCTTGCCAGGGCCTGCCATGACTCATTGGGTGACACGGGCCTGGCATCTGTGGAAGGGTGGCCAAGGGGGGCGTGGCCTCAGGAGTGGGTTAGCCATGTTGAGGGTTTTCTTGGTCAGGATGAGTAGCGGGGACTAAATGTTTTCATTTGAGCCATGCAGACTAACTTAAAACTATTCTCATACCCTTTTCTATTTTTTAAAAACAATTATCTGTTATGCTTATTGTGCATTATTTTATGTGTGTGCGTGTTTGCCTGCCTGTTGGTGTGTGGATCATGTTGCACGCAGTGCCTGAGAAGGCTAGAAGAGGGCGTTGGATGCTCTAGAACTGGAGTTACAGATGGTTGTGAACCATCACGTGTGTGGTGGGAATTGAACCTGGGCCTTCTGCTGAGCCATCTCTCCAGCCCCATCATTTTCCTCTATGAGTCTGTTTGTATTTAACAACAAATGTCACAAGGAAATCTAGGCGGCTTCCTTCTACGTAGACACAGCAAGGCAGGAACCAGGATCGACTGGCCAAGCTGGAATTCCAGGAGTCAAACCAATGCAGTATAAAGTTAAGCCACTGGGGGGCAGAACTGCTACCTGGTGGGTGGACTTAGCCTTAAGGAGTCCTCAGAGAGGGAGAAGGGAGGGATAGAGATAGAGGTAGAGAGAGAGAGAGAGAGAGAGAGAGAGAGAGAGAGAGAGAGAGAGAGAGAGAGGAAGGAAGGGAGGGAGGGAGGGGAGAGAGAGAACAGCAGAGGATAATGATTTCATCTACCGCTTATTCAGACGACAGCTGCTCTTTATTCCTTCTTCCTTCCCACTTCTCTCCTCCTTTTTTATTTTTTCAGTGCTGGGATTTGAACCAAGAGTCTTGTACATGCTAGGCACTAAGCAAGTACTCTACCAATTCACAATGCACCCACTCCTTAAAGGGATGTCTTTTAAAAATAATTTTTGTTTGTTTGTTTTTGTTGTGGACAGTCTCACTAGGCAGCCCAAGATGGCCTGGAATTTCCTACGTAGCCTAGGCTTGTCTGAAACTCATGGCGATCCTCCTGCCCCAGCCTCCCAAATACTGGGAGTATAGGAGGCACCATCACAGCAGGCAATAAATGCTGCTTTATTTTTTTACCATGTTAGGATGAATCCAGAGCCTCCAACATGCTAGGCAAATGCTCTTCCACGGAGCTACCCGCCATCACTGTACTTCTGTTCTTTAGAAGCATGCATGTTCGGGGTCTGGAGAGATCACTGAGCAGTTAGGAGACAGCTGCTCTTCTAGGAGACTAGAGCTCAGTTCCCAGCACCCATGTGGGCAGCTCACATCCATCTGTAACTCCAGCTTCGGGAAACCTAATGCTGTCTTCTGGTGTCACGCCTACACACAGATGCACACATATGTGCACAATTAAAAAAAATCTTAAGATGAAATTAATATCTTCTTTGTCATTGACGGACCTGTCTGTTTCTCATTTGTATACCCCATGTGCCTCTCTGGAGATAATGCCACGAAGAACCAGCTTGCGGTACGTGGCTGAGCTTTCTGGGTTACGTCTCACTAGTGTAGACCAGTCTTTCCTATTTCTGAGGTCATTTATAACAAACAAATTGGAACTAAAAGCCTCTGGTTTAGGGTGTGTGCAGGGCAATTCTCGGTTCTCTACAACTGGAGTTTTTTCTTGCCAGGTCCCGCAGCCGCTTCAGCCTCAAATAAATACACAGACACTTATATTAATGTTGGCCAATGGCTAGGTCTTCTTATTGGCCAGCCCTGCCTTAATTATTAACCCATTTCTATAAATCTATGTATTTCCACGTGGTCTTACTGGAGAATGCCCGGACCTGTAACTCCTTTGGCGGCGACTACATGGCGTCTCATGCAGTGCCTCTCTACCTCCCCTTTCCCAGAATTCTCCTGTCTCCTAGTCCCGCCTGTCTCCCTGCCTCTATTGGCCAAACAGTGTTGTATGCATCAACCACTAAAAGGAGCACATGTGCAGAAGGACGCCCCATCCCCCATCCGTTCTCTGTAGTGGATACTGACAAGAAAGGAATTGTGTTTGAATTGACCTGTGAGTTTATCCTCGATGCAATGAACGCAGTGTCTTTTTGAGCACTGCTGATAACTGGTGTCAATAGGAACAAAAATAGAACAATCCCACGCCTAGCATCAGCTCGCACGCTTGACAGTCAGTCAGAAGCTCTTCATGAGTCAGCGAAGCAAGAATTTACAAACGGTATAATAACCAACTTTCTAGGTGCTGCAGCGGGAAGACAAACTCCTCAGAGAGGCTGACCCCTGGACAGCCTCGCCACCACTTGGGTCTTCCGCCACACCAGGCATCAGCTGGACTGAGCACACTCTCTCCTCCAGCTTTTTGGTCCTCACAGAGCACCAGGCCACACCCTAAGGTCGGCACCCCAAAGCTGTTGGTGGAAAGAATTCCCATAACAAGTCAGTTATGCTTTGCCAGGGCATCTTCCCCAGCAAGGAGTGTGGGGTTGTGTGTGGGAGGCCAAGTCACTGCTCTTATAGGATCTGTGTGTGTGTGCTTGCACGTGTGTGTGTGCATGTGTGTCTGTGGTCTGTGTGTGTCTTTGTGCATGTGTGCATGTGTGTCTGTGTGTGTCTGTCGTCTGTGTGTTTGTGTGTCTGTGTGTGTGTCTGTGTGTGCATGTGTGTCTGTGTGTGTGTGTCTATGCGTGTGCATGTGTGTCTGTGTGTCTCTGTGCGTGTGTGCATGTGTGTGTCTGTGTGTGTGTGTGTATGTGTGTCTACTGTAGAGGTCCACAGTATGATGTGAAACAGTTATTTCTGAGGACGTCTGTTGTGTGACTTGCTCTTCCCACAGAGCCTCCCTGCTATCTCTGCCAGGGGAGGCTCCAGGCCCCTCCGCACACACATGGATTAGCCGTGGGCACACGCGGTGTAATTGGAGCTCCACTCATGGCAGCACCAGGCCGTTTTACAGCACTGTCACAGAACTGACCCGTTACATAAAACATCCGCAGGCAGGCAGGCAGGCAGGCAGGCAGGCAGGCAGGCAGAGCTGCTTTGCTCTCGCTCCTGTGCGCAGATCCTAAGGTCTTTTTATCAGGAGACGCAGACCGGCATTCGTCTCTCATTTGTTCTCAGTTATGTGTGTAAGAAAACCCAAAAGAATCCTCGTCAGGGTCACCAGTGGTACCGCAGCCCAGAGCAGATCTTACAGGTGCCTGTAGTGGGTGTGTCCAGGTCCTATAGTTAGTTCCTCCCGTGGATTCTGGGCCCTCGAGCCTGATGACTTAATCCATGTGCAGAGATGGCTCAGCAATTAGGAGCACTCACTGCTCTTGCAGAGGACCTGAGTTCAGTCCCAGCACTGACTCACAACAACTCCACAGGGTTTGGCGCCCTCTTCTGGACCCTGCAGGAACTGCACTCACAAATGCAAGGACACATATAACTTAGAAATAAGACATCTGTAGGCAGATGTAGCTGGATGTTTCTCTCCCATCCACCAGTTCCCACTCAGAAGCATAATATCAATTATAACTGTTGGCCAATGGCTTGGGCTTATTATTGACTGTCACCTACATTTAAATTAACCCATTTCTATTAATCTGTGTATTGACACATGGCAGTGGCTTACTGGTGATGCTCAGACATGTTTCTCCTTTGGTGCCTTGATGGCATCTTCTCCAAACTCCACCCTCTTTTTCCCTATATCTCTGCCTGGATTTCCCACCTAGCTGTATCCTGCCCTGTCGTAGGCCAAAGCCGCATTATTCATCAACCAATAAAAGCAACACATATTCACAGTGCACAGAAGGACATCCCACGTCAGGTGGGAATTTTTGTCCTGCCAGTAATTCCCAAATACCCCTCAGCTGCTTCCCAAATAACTGACTGGGAGTCTTAATATTACTTACAAATGCTCGATCGGTAGCTCAGGCTTATTACTAACTAGTGCTTACACTTAAATTAACCCATCATTCTTATCTATGTTTAGTCACGTGGCCCAGTATCCTTTCCCCAGTATGGCGTTCCCATCTTGCTTCCTCTGCATCTGGCTGGAGACTACTGACTCCACCCTTCTCCTTCCCAGCATTCAGTTTTCCTTTCCCACCTAACTTCCTGTCCAGCTACCGGCCAATTCTAATGACAAATCTTTACAGTGTACAAGAGGATTATTCCACAACACAAATACTTTTTAAAACGTATCCTCATTGAACGAGCAGGCATTGACTTTGCAATGCAAGACTTAGCCTGAAGTCCTAGGAGCCCCAAATGTTCTGTAAAGAGAATTTAGAGTTGTGTGAATTTAGTTACTTTACTAACTTCTGACTCAAATGTAGCATTTTCCTCCACGGTCAGACTTGCAGACAAAGCAGGGTGTCAGCATCAGGATGTGCAACTTTGTTGCCAGTGGAGGTCAGGGGTGCTTGTATGCCGCCCGGCAGTGAGAAGACACTGAAATAGGCCTCTGCCCTTCACTGGGTAAAGGTATTGGTATTGTTCCTAGCCCAGTAGCCCTTGTTATTTAACGTATTTATCAGGTAGCTCTTATGCCGTGGCTTTAGCGCTTCTCGGGTTTTAGTAACTAGGAAGACACAGATGTTTCCCTTTACAGGTGGTGTGTAGAAGGCACAAATCCCGGGCCCTGCTCTCTCCAGTGTCCCGGATTTTTATTTATTTGTTTGTTTGTTTGTTTATTCTATAGCCCTGGCTGGCCCAGAACTCACAGAGACCCACTTGTTTCTGTCCCCCGAGTCTTGGGGTTAAAGGCGTGTGCCACCATGTCTGGCCCTACTTTTTTGTTGTTGTTGTTTTGTTTTGTTTTTAGTTTTTGTGTGGTATCTGTGTGTTCATATGTGTGTGTGCATACATGTATGTGCATGTAGGGGCCAGAGGTTGGCATTATCTTCGTCTGTCCACCCCCAACATACATTGGTTCGGGTTTTTTGTTGTTGTTTCTG